CTATATCTTGCGTTGCATATACTGATTTATCTCAATGTTTTGCAGCCGAGAAGGCGCCACCGCCTCCTTTGGAGGGGATTCAGGAATGGGTCGAGGCCATCCTTCCTCATACAGCGGGAGTTCGTACGTGGGCGACGTTTCATCGGAGATTTGGACGCAGGCCCCTTACAGGTGAGATAACATCTTTACCTTCTGACCTTTCTTCTGTATCGGTCTTACTTTTCGAGCTTTGTTTGCTGTGACTAGGGAGGGTTCGCAGAGTCAGGGCCCCTCAGTTGGCGTTCCGTCGCCCGGCTGCATCCGCTCGTATCAGTGCGGCACAATCGGCTCGTCCTTCATTGAGGGCGGCGTCTGTGGAGTCAGTGGCCTTTACAACTCCCACCCAGACTATGTCTCGGGATGAGGGTCCATCTGGCGTCGTCCGTCCTCAAGTTGACTCGTCGTCGATCGGAGAGGAAGAAGGGTCGTTGAAGAGGCGGAGAGTTGGTTTCGAGATGGCTCCTCCGACAGTGATCAACTTGGATTTTCCCCCGATGAACCCAGAGGAAGGTGTTGCAGGAGCATCTACCGCCGAAGGGGAGCGGATCGTCGGGGTTGCTCCCGTTAGCCAGGGCCAGGAGGACTCTGCTGCTACTACGGCCCGATCGGGAGTTCTTGCTGCGGATGTCGAAGAACATCTTGTTGTAGCGGAGGATCGTTCCCCTAATGCCGCCGTCGCGACCTTGAGTACGCCACTATCATCTTCATCAGCGGAGAGGGGGAAGAGTGTAATGGTCGATGAATACGAGTCTGAGTCTGACTTGGACCCTGATGACGTTCGGATGTTCGAGGATGGCATTACCCACTCGGTGGTCAACGCAGGGGGGTCGGCCCGCCTCGTTGAGATTCCTGCCGATGTGAACTTGTTGACTCAAGGGGGCAGCCTGGTTCCTCAATTCAATCTACTGTGTTCTAAGGCTGAGAATGAGTCCCTGAGGAGTGTTTCGGCTGTCGAAGTGATGGACGAGGTGGCTGTGATGGGTTTACGGGTATGCTATATCAGAATTCGGTTTATTTCCCCTTTATTGCGGAGTGGGCATAAGTTTGACTGTTCTTCTTGTTTTGCAGACGTATATGTTGGAGGTAGAGAACATTCGTAAGGCCAATGTCCGGTCGAGGATCTTTTTGCAGATGCTGGAAAAATACCGTCGCTATCGCGATAGGTGTCGCGAGTTGCATGAACGTTTAAGAAATGATCCCCGCAACCGGGCATTGGGCGAAGAGTTGGAGAGGAAGGACCGTGAACTGGCGCAGGTGCTCCGCAGCAGGAGTGAGCTTGAAGAGCAAACCGCCTCAAGAACGAGGAGCTCGAGGTGGAAAGAGGGGTCGTCGCGGAGTGTGAACATCTGCAGGGCAAGTTGCGAGCACTACAGTTGGAAATTGAGCAAAACCAGGCCAGAGCTACGAAGGTCGACTCTGAATGGAGAGTGAAGCTGGCTGTACTGGAAGGCAAGGTCGCCGATTTGGAACGCTAGGAGAGGGATGCTTCGACGAGGGCGGCGGCCTTTGAGACGGCGGTCTGCGTTCATGAGTCCGAGCGAGAGTCGGAGAGGACTACTACGGCCCTTAGAGAGGCGAGACTTGAGGAGCGGATCAGTGAGATTGATCAGGAGGCCCAGGACTTGTCGGATAAGGTTGCGGCCTTAGAGGAGGAGAATCAGCGGTTGAGGGCCCTGGTCGGACCGTCCCGTGCTGATGTTCCTAGCCAGGCTCATGAACTCTAGGTTTATACCGAGGCTAAGCGTGACATTTTCAAGAACTTGTTGGAGGCGGGCATCGTGTCTGAGGCGGCTTTCGAGGAGGCATGGCAGAAAGCTCGGGAGGCTCGAGCCAACTGCGGATATGATGTGGCGACGCCCGAAGCCGATGGTGGTGCAAGTGGCGATGATGATGGTCCTTATGGAAGTGATGATGGCGACGGCGGTATTGGCGCCGAATGAGAGAGACTCTTGTTTCGTTGTTTGTGTTGGTTTGTTTTCTTTGGTTACGCCGATGGGCGTTTGTTTGTTCCTTGTTTTCTTTGTCGATTTTCTCTCTTTTGGCTGGTTCGGACCGGATGTGAGCGGCGATGGTCCGCATTTCTGATTCCATTAATAAAGAATTCTTTCTCGCTATTTGCCTTGCATTTCAGTTCATCGATTTGTGATTTGGTTGAGGGGGGCGGAACTCGTCTTAGTTCGAGTGAGGTTGAACTGTACTACTTTGATGGCGAAGGCACCTAGCCTGAGTCCCGGTTCGAGCGAGGTCGAACTATAATACTTTGAGGGCGAAGGCACTTGGCCGGAGTCCCAGTTCGAGCGAGGTCGAACTGTAATACTTTGATGACGAAGGCACTTAGCCTGAGTCCTAGTTCGAGCGAGGTCGAACTGTAATACTTTGATGACGGAGGCACTTAGCCTGAGTCCTAGTTCGAGCGAGGTCGAACTGTAATACTTTAATGGCGAAGGCACTTAGCCTGAGTCCCAGTTCGAGCGAGGTCGAACTGTAATACTTTGAGGGCGAAGGCACTTAGCCTGAGTCCTAGTTCGAGCGAGGTCGATCTGTAATACTTTGATGGCGAAGGCACTTAGCCTGAGTCCCAGTTCGAGCGAGGTCGAACTGTAATACTTTGATGGCGAAGGCACTTAGCCTGAGTCCCAGTTCGAGCGAGGTCGAACTGTAATACTTTGATGGCGAAGGCACTTAGCCTGAGTCCCAGTTCGAGCGAGGTCGAACTGTAATACTTTGATGACGAAGGCACTTAGCGTGAGTCCCGGTTCGAGCGAGGTCGAACTATAATACTTTGATGGCGAAGGCACTTAGCCTGAGTCCTAGTTCGAGCGAGGTCGAACTGTAATACTTTAATACGAAGGCACTTAGCCCGAGTCCTAGTTCGAGCGAGGTCGAACTGTAATACTTTGAGGGCGAAGGCACTTAGCTTGAGTCCTAGTTCGAGCGAGGTCGAACTGTAATACTTTGATGGCGAAGGCACTTAGCCTGAGTCCCAGTTCGAGCGAGGTCGAACTGTAATACTTTGATGGCGAAGGCACTTAGCCTGAGTCCCAGTTCGAGGGAGGTCGAACTGTAATACTTTGATGACGAAGGCACTTAGCCTGAGTCCCAGTTCGAGCGAGGTCGAACTGTAATACTTTGATGGCGAAGGCACTTAGCCTGAGTCCCAGTTCGAGCGAGGTCGAACTGAATGATTATCTGTTTGACCGTGACATTCAGGTTGCTTCAGGGTAATTTTTGATTCCTCGTTTGCAGTGCCTTTGCCTCGGTTTCCGCCCTGACACGGTGTGAGGATGAGGGGGAGTCGAATCGGGGGGAGGTTCTTCACCTCCACGATCCGGGAAGAACCTCTTGGTGTCTCTTTTTGCTTCGATCCGGGAAGAACTAAGTGCTTTCACTAGGAAATCCCCACAGACGGCGCCAAATTGTTTGACTTAAAAAATATCGGACAATTTCTAAGCAAATCAATTAGTATACAAGGAGGGGTAAATCATAGTCAATTATAATTGATACCAGATCGAAAGACAGAAGAGTAAAGCGGAAGCCTTCGTAGAGATAAAAATTGGGAGATTTTTATTCATCATCGGAGTTTATCCTGTCTCCCCTTGGAGGATCCAAGAAATTACAATTTTTGTTATTTTTTCTGAGAGTAGTCGAGAAAATGAATCCCCTTCTTTTTTTTCTCCCTTCCCGCTTCCCTTATATAGCGGAGGGGCTCTGTTTTTACTACCATAAAGATAAAGATAAAATAAATACTATAGAGGGACCGACGTGGTTGCGAGGTCGTCCTTTGTACAGTTCTTGAGTCGTCCTTTTCAGCTGGACTTGTGTGTATACGGTCGGTCGTGCTTACTTGGGGACGTGATCATTCAATTCAACCCCATACAATTACCGCCGTGACCGAGTGGTCAGATTTTGACCAATACAATCATGGATAAATATTCTAAAGACAGATTTTGACCCATACAACACTAATTCAATAAGGACATGAGATGTATGATCGTGTAATCAGTGAATTTGAATAAGCTTTTTTCTAAAATCCGATCATAGTAGTTTAACATTTACTACCTTCTTTGTAATTTTTGGCTTCTTGCTTTGAATTTTTACTTCGTAACAATTTTGAAGTCTTATTATTAGTGATGGTGCAACTTTGTGAAATTTAATTTGATGAATTTGGCATCTTTTCATTTTCTTGCTTTTGGATTATAGAAAATGACTCCACGGGCTAATCAAAATGCAAAAAAAGCTGCTCTGAAATTACTTGAGTATCGTTGTCAAAGAGATCATGCACGTAAAAGGTTCACAAATTGCAGTCATTTTTGTAGATGATAATAGGGATCGGTTAGATTTAGAGCCAAAGGAAAAAAGAACAAAACTTTTATCTATTATAATTACGGTGTCCAGGTCAATTTGCACATATACCTCTACTAATTTTACGAGGTATAGTTGCTACTTCCACCAACATAAATATCAGGTAACTCTACCTATAAATAGAACTTTCTCCTTATACATAGAGTAACTATTCCTACATAAAGGGAACATATATCGAACAAAAAAAGAAAGGAAAAAAAAGGGGGGGGGGGGGGGGGGATACCATGTACTATTGAACAATCTAATAACATATAAAAGCTTAGTTAGTTGCTTCCTCGTATCTCATATCTAATTACTTTGTATTATGGAAACTTCGATTGTCTTAAATACAGTATAAGATATCAAAAAAAAAATAATAAGAAAAATGAAACATTGTTACCGATAACGCACAAGTAATTAAATGCATATTGCTAGTCTTCTAGATGGGACTATATATTAATTCTCTAATTAACACAACAAATAAAAATTAAATAGGATAATTCCTCTAAATTTGTAAGTTTTTCTGCATTTGTATGCCACAAGAGAAAAGTGGTCAAAGGGACTGAGACAAAACCGGGGAAATCAAGAAAACAACATAATACCCCTGGCTTAAGACTTCATCAACTCCCTTCCCCTAAGATTGGGGTTTCCTTTCTCTCCCTCGTCCTTCCTCTCTCTCATTGTTTTCCTTCACTGCATTTAATTCTTTTGATCTTCTGTTCCCTTGGGATGTTACGTTCAAGCTAATCTAGCTATACCTACATTATAACAAAAGAAAAACAAAAATATATAATCTAACATCCCAAAAAATGGGGACCTGCATGTCTGTACAAAATGCAAATTTCTTGAAAAGAACAAAAATGAGACCTACTCCTATTGATCAAGAAACTTGTTCCAAGATCAACTCCAGCCGCACATCCGTTCCTAAATCCCAGAAATTCTCTCGTCCCATAAATGTCGTTAAGGATCCATCTGGAGATGACATTTACAAGAGGTATCATTAGATAGTTGTAATATATATATAAACTTTGGATTAAGAGACTTGGTATTTTCCGTTTTCATATAAAACCTAAATTTAAACGGAAAAATATAAATTTAAGTTTTGTATTTAAACGAACATGTTTGTTCATTAAAATAAGATGATTATTCTGAATCAAAGGCGAACCCAAGATTTTAAGGCGATGGGTGCACATGATTCTGCTCAACCATTGCCCCCTAAAGATTTTAGTATCCAGGATGTCAAATATCAAATGTCAAGTGACTTAAATAAATCATTTTCAAAGAATACCTATAGTATATAAGATTTCTGTCAAAGTTTACAGGGTCTAGTGACCCCTCAATAGTACATGTAAATCCGCTATTGTTTTGAATAGTCTTCTTTTAATTATATTAATTCATGCGAGAAGTCATGTCTAAGTTGGTTTGCAGTATACGACTTTCTTTTATGTTGAAGGACTTGTATGTATTTTTACAAACAATACCTCTTTAAGAAAAGTTGTTTGTGTTTTAGTTTATGTGATTATTCTTCTAACAGGTACGAGTTTGGGAAGGAGTTAGGAAGAGGAGAGTTTGGGATAACATACCAATGTGTAGACAAGGAAAGTGGAGAGAATGTGGCATGTAAGACAATAGCAAAGAGCAAGTTGAGGACAGAAATAGATGTGGAGGATGTGAGGAGGGAAGTAGTGATAATGAGGCATTTGCCTAAACACCCTAATATTGTTAGCTATAAGGAAGTTTATGAAGATAAAGAGGCTGTTTATCTTGTTATGGAACTTTGTGAAGGTGGTGAACTCTTCGATAGAATTGTTGCAAGAGGACATTATACTGAAAGAGCTGCTGCTCGTGTTACAAAGACTATTCTTGAGGTTGTCCAGGTAATTATATTAAGTATTCTCTTCTCCATTTGCCTGTTTTGAATGATTTAACCTGAATAGCCACCCATGTGACCTTGGCGTAACCGGTAAAGTTGATGTCATGTGACCAGGAGGTCACGGGTTCAAGTCGTGGAAACAGCCTCTTGCAGAAATACAAGGTAAGGTGCGTACAATAGACTCTTGTGGTCCGGCCCTTCCCCGGACCCCGCGCATAGCGGGAGCTTAGTGCACCGGGCTGCCCCTAGCCACCCACCCAACTGCTTATAAAAATACATTAACTTAAAATAGCCAGCCACCCAACTGCTTAAGCTAAAAATAGCTGACGAATGTGTAATAGACATATAATCTATGTATACTGGCTAGAAAAGTAAACAATGAATATGACCGGCTATTTGTGCAAGATCCTAAACTAGCTAAAAGTAGCTGGTAGGTGCATAATATATGTATATGTTATGTATATTATGTGTATAACCATGTATAATTAATATATAGACAATTTTAATACTAGCTAGGAAAAGTAAACAGTGAATCTGACAGACTATTTGTTTACAAAACCCGGAAGGTGTTTACTCTTCTTTCAATTTTATGCACTTAACTATATGCTCAGTTATTTGCAATTGCTAAACAAAATCTTGTATGCTTCGTGATAGGTATGTCACAAGCATGGCGTAATTCATAGAGATCTTAAACCTGAGAATTTTTTATATGCCAATACAAGTGAAAATGCTCAGTTGAAGGCCATTGACTTTGGCCTTTCTATTTTCTTTGAGCCTGGTAAGTCTTTTTCATCTCCAAAATTATACTAGTGTTTGAGTTTGTCGTAATTAATAATTATCTTGAGCATTGCTTTGGCATCTTATCTAAGTGAACATTATAATTTTATCTTTTAGGCCAGAGATTTGGTGAAATAGTTGGAAGCCCATATTACATGGCTCCAGAAGTTCTTCGAAGAAATTATGGACCAGAAGTTGATGTGTGGAGTGCCGGTGTTATTCTTTACATTTTGTTATGTGGCGTTCCCCCTTTTTGGGCAGGTAATTCACCATTTAAACTTAATTAGTTCACCATTCTGATCTTCTTTTCCTTGAGCCGAGGGTCTATCGGAAACACTCTCTCTACCTTCACAACGTAGGGATAAGATCTGCGTACACAGGGGTGTACGCAGAAATTTTTTGTAAGTGGTGCATCATCTAAAAAATAAACATTGTAATGACATGAAAAATGAAAAGTTGAGAAGAGTTCGCCTACTCATAAGTTTAATAATAGAGAAAGAGGGGTAAGTTTTTTTTCTAAATTAAAGTTCTAAATCCGTTTAAGTTATACTATAATTGCATGTTATATTTGTTAATTTTTTATCACTTTGATTAATGTATAACGAATATAGTGTTGGTATTGGTTTAACCAATGTTTTTAGCTTAGAGGACACCAAGTAAGATCGTTTGTAAAGTGGTCCCCTTTTATTGTTATATTCGTAACACTGTTTATATTGTATTAGTAAAATTTTCCGATGAAGCGGCGACTTCGACTAACGTGTCGTCCGCTCATGTGAGTATACACTATCTTCCCCGGATCCCATAATTATACTAGATTTTTTGTTGTTGTTATTGTTGTTGTTGTTGGTTGATCTTCTCTATTGTATGTTTTTCCAAATGGGGTTGAATAGTTCTGTTAGTTTTAAAGATTATGTGAACTGTCTAATTGTCTTTTCCTTATATATGGGGTTTCTTGGTTGTGATTAGCACAGAAACCGAAGAAGGAATTGCACACGCAATAGTAAAAGGTACAATAGATTTTAACAGAGATCCTTGGCCAAGAGTATCAGATGAAGCTAAGGACCTTGTCAAAGGAATGCTTGATCCAAATCCTTATAATAGGTTGACAGTTGAAGAAGTCCTTGGTAAGTATTACTATCACAATATCATTATATTAGACCCGTGTATTTTAATATGCTATAGAATATTACCCATCTTATTTTTCAGGTTAGTAGTTGTTAAACTCGTATCATTTCAATTATTTCATCATGTTTGATCCTGAAAGATTAGGAATTTGCAAATTCAGACTAATTGATAAATTCTTGATGTTTAAAGAACATCACTGGATACAGAATGCTGAGAAGGTCTCTAATGTATGTTTGGGAGAAGGTGTGAGAGCGAGGATTAAGCAATTTACTTTGATGAATAAATTCAAGAAAAAAGTTCTCAGAGTAAGTCCCTAATTAAACATTCGTCGTCATTCATTGGAGTTGTTGTTTCTCTTTCTTGGACGTACAACAAGTGTATCATGAATATTTCACGCATAACTGTATTTACAGGTTGTAGCAGATAACTTACCACAAGATCAAGTTCACGGAATTAAACAAATGTTCTATATGATGGACAGTGACAAAAATGGAAACCTAAGCTTCCAAGAACTCAAAGATGGTCTACATATGATGGGGCAATCTGTTGCTGATCCTGAAGTCCAATTGCTAATGGATGCTGTAAGCTTATAAATAATGCTCTCTTTTTTATTACTCTGTTACTAATATTTAAGTACTCTATATATGTTGATATAACATATATATACCTTCTAATTAAGAAAATTTTGTTTTGTTATAATGGAAAAGGCTGACGTAGATGGAAACGGAATGCTAAACTGTGAAGAATTTGTGACAATGGCTGTACACTTACAGAGGTTAAGCAACGACGATCATCTCCGCCAAGCTTTCCTTCAATTTGACAAGAATCGAAGTGGATACATTGAGTTTGAAGATTTGAAAGTTTCTTTATTTGATGATCATCTTGGCCCCAAGAATGATCAAGCGATCCACGACATCATATCTGATGCTGATTTGGATAAGGTAATTAACCTTAACACGTCTCATATTGTCAGTGCATAGAGAAGTTAAATTCTATTCTATTTTGTTATTGGGTTGCTTCATTTTGCTAATATATATGCAGGATGGAAGGATAAGTTACCAAGATTTCAAGGTCATGATGTCAACAGGAATGGATTGGAAGATGGGTTCACGCCAATACTCAAAAGCAATGCTAAATGCACTCAGCATGAGACTGTTCAAAGACAAATCCATCCAACTGAAAAATTAACTCTTCCATTCTTGAGTTTTTCTTATATCATTTCCCTAACCTGAGAAGAAAATTAAGGAATGTAAAGAAAAAGAAAATGAAATGTATACAGGGTTTTGTTCCACTTCTTTGATTAATCAAGTATATATACGTCTTGTTTCACACTCTGTTTTAAAGGCTAGTAATTATATGACATTAGATATTTTGGGGATGACTGATCTTTCTGCTATTAAGGAGAAGATAGTGATCTAAGAAGCTTTTATACTCTTCTTTTAGCTTCTATTTTTAACCGAAATTCACTCTTAGGAAATCGAGAAAAGTTTTACTTCTACAAAAAGGAATCCAATTTGTGTAAATTAATTTCAAATTGGTAATCGAACTTTACCTCAAACAACTAGAAAACTATTTGTTGTGACATTAAAATAACTAGATTTTACCTACTATAACACTTGAAGACATAAAACTACCTTCTGTGAAATCAAAGTAGCCAAACTTCATACAGTATAACAGCATAGTCACAAAACTTTAATCATTATAACAATAAGATCACCTTAATGGGTAGAATTGACTTTATTGCTATAGTAGATAAAGCTTCGTCACTTGACTATTATAGTCACTTTACTATTATAGTGAATAAAGTTTAGGGTGATATTTCCAGAGGCAAAACAAGTCATTCTCCGAAAACATTTTCGGGTAATACCGAACAGGCCGAGACGGCGAGACAGACCGAGATCAGTCAAAAAGGCTGACATGCTACTCAAATACGTGAAAGGATTATCTGCATACCAGGGAGAAAGAAACTTAGAGCAATTCCAATAACAATGTATATAAGCAGCATATATCATTATATACACACAAGGAACCCTTATACACAAGTGACCAGTAAGAACAACAGCACAGTTATGTTTGCAGCCACTGCCCACTTCCCCTGAAAGAGGTGAGTTGATAGTCCTGCACCTAACTATCACAGACTATTTACAACAAAACCATTAGTTTCCCCTTGAAGATGCACAAGAGCAAACTTCATTGTCTGGGGATCTTTTTTACCTCTATGCTGTTCTCTGACAATTGGCTTCAATTAGAGAACATCAACCCCTCGTTTGCCTCTTGTGAGCACAAGTGTTTAACATACCCATCTGAACATCATATTATCCCACAAAATCCCAGTATATAGTCATCCAAGTATTCACTTGAGTCTCATGTCCGAGTGGAGCTCTTACCCCTACCACCTCCTTTGGCCTTGCTGCTCCCAGCTACGTTCTTTGAGCTCGGTGCCTTACTACAAGCACCTTGGGAATCCACATCTGCAAGACCATTCTCCAGTGCTCTAACCAGATTCTCAAAGTAATTTCGGGTAACACTGTTGCAATTACAGAAAAACAACTGGTCATTAAAATGTTTATATATCAATATGAACTATCAAGCACAAAATCATCTTATCTCTTCCACATGTTTGAGAGGCGAACTTCCACAGGAGAGTCAAATAAGTTCGTTACACAGTAGTGTTATCAAAGGTGAAAAGAGAAAAAAGGGGTTTTCAGGTCTATTTAGGGTTTAAAAGAAAATCTCAAATTAAAGCGATGTTTTAATGAAAGAAATCGCAAACGAAAAAAGAATAATAATTTTATGCATAACTCAAGATCAATAATTCGTATCATGAAGAATTATATAAAGAAAGGAGTTAAAAATTATAATTAAATGAAAAAGTTATCGTTTAGTGATGCCCTACTCAAAAAGGTGCTCATGGGTGAAGAGAAACACACTTTAGTGATTCGATGCTTGAACTTGAACCAAAGCGCTATGCTAAGTGAGGCAAAGTACTCAGCCTACTTTTGCATCTAGCTTGAGGACTTAGGTGTGCCACATGCACCTTTGACAATACTGTTACACATGCGTTAAAATGGTAACATCTGAAGGAGATTATCTGAGCATATGGCATCATTGCTTAACAAGAACTTCAGAGTAATAATATGTCCGATCATTTATGTAAAGGCAGAATTTAGCCTAAGAAAGCATAAATGGTTAGATCTTGTATGCACAACAGCACAAGCCATTCCACCACTCTAACCCCTAATTTGTTCTCTCCTCACATCCTCATCTATCTCCTCATTAGTTCTCCGCCTCCAGCCTAGAGATTCATCTTGCCCAAACTCCCTGCCTTACCACCCCCACTACACCCGGAGTCGGGAGGGGCGGAGCTAGTTCTTTGGTAATGGGTTTGGTCGAACCCAGTAACTTCAGTTCAATCACTGTATTTGTCTCAAATATTCATTGAATATGTAAAATTTATTAATTTAGAACCCACTAACTTAGAAAAGACTAGAATCCCAAATCCATAAGCTTCAAATCTTGGCTCCATCTCTTTGGTTATGCGCTTTCCTGGTTAACCCTTCACAATTTTCCCGATTAACGTATTCATTTTTGTCTAAGCTACGGATTTATTTCCCCATGAGGATGTGCTGGAAATCAATTGATGAAACAAACAGTTCAGTTTTGTAAATAAGAAATTGTTGCATCAAATTGTTTTATTTTTGTACATAAGTGTAAAGTGTGTACATGTCCCAGTGCTTAAGGACTAAAATTGTGATCCAATTGCAAATAAAATGCAGGATCAAACTAGCAATGAGACATCTCTACCTTAAAATCATTTAAGCTAACATGAGATGATAAACGGTATTTAACCCATTCGGGCAAGATTGTAATTCTCCCTTGTGCAATGTAGCTATCAAATGCTTCCTTAGTCTGAATGAATCTAGGCTGATCAAGAAATTACCCGCAAACAGTAATTCTCCCTAAAGCAAATCGAAGCACCAGCACTCATGACCCATCACAACCCACAAAGACTATCCAACCATCATTGGACCAGCCTAAACCCCCTAGCTATTTGCTCTGCAGCCTAGGGACTGCAAGTGCACAAGTAAATTAAATAACCACAGGGGAAAACACTTCCACTTCCCAAAAGCTGAATCATATACCTGGACTATGCTATCTTCAATAACAATCACATTTAAGTAAAACTGTTAAACGAGAACTCCTGAACTAATTCAGCAGAGTAACTCTTAGCTGAAGAAATGTCCATAGTTAATGCTTCTAGGCAACTCTGTCAGATAAATTACCTTGTTAGACCAGCGAGCTTCGTACGAAAATCATTGAAATCCTTGGACGATCCTGTAGCATTAAGGTAAGTTTGGAGTTCCTTTTCAGCACATTGATGAAGCCTCTCTAAACCAGCCTCTGCCTCACCTGTACAGATGGTTGCATACAAGAAATAAACAGAAACATGAGACAAGTTCATTGTAGATGATTCAAGAACAAGCAAAACAGATGATCAAATCTTTAAATACCTTGTAAGTACTCAAAAAACTGCCTTTTTGCATGCTCATGTTCGGGTAGGTAGTATCCATATGCATAAGTCCATTTTAACACTCTCCTACATTCAACTATCTGCAATTTGTAAAGGGAAACATCAATTGCTCCATATTACAAGCCCCAAGAAAAGAACAATTCCAAAGTTCAGAATAACTAAAGCATTAACTACTGATTACCGAATGATAATGTCCGACTTAAAAAATCCTATAAAAAAAAATGAGCTTGCCAATATCAAAAGGTTTACGCATCCCAGTGAGTAGGTTTAGGCATATCAAAAGTACAGAGGATCATCCCAGTGAGCAGGTTTAGGCATTCACATATTACTCATTTTCAACCAAAGCCTTTAATGGGAAATAGCTGTAGAGAATTGCACACGAATCGGAAGCCCTATGGATGAAAATTATTCTTGCAAAAACCGTCTATAAATAGAAACTATTTTCATGTCTTTCATCTGAATTTGCAACCTCATGTGAGGCGCATATGGAAAGGAATGTGACGGACAGAAAAGATTACTCAAAAGGGACCAGATCCAAATTTCATTTGATGTGTGATGCAGGAACTTAACCTTGAAAGACGAATCCCCAACCCCAGATGTATGGTGCCAAGACTTATCTTTGAAAGACAATTCCCCTCGCCCTCATCCATTATCATGGATAAGGATGCCAGAGTAGTACAAGCTTTGGATACCAACTGTCCTCGGACATAGGTTAGGAAACCAATTCAAAACAGGGAAAGGGATGAGGCTGATGATTTCCTACAAAAGATACAAGCGCATGTACCACTCGAGAGTGAAAAGCAAATGTGGATAAGGCCAACCATGAAATGATTCCCAGGGAAGTCATATTATAAATTCTTATTGTTCAGAGAATGCCATTTTGAATAACTTATGTTTTGTATGATGTAAATGTGAAGACGAAGAGGAAGATGATTGCAGTGTTCACCTGTTGCCAGGATTCTAAAATGAACTTCAACTGTGACTCGGGTTGGCACTGTATTTCGCTAAGCTTTTCAAGCTGCAGAGATAAACCAAAAGCTTACATTAAACACATATTTGAGTAGACATCACAATGAAAAACAAATGTTATGCCTTGAGAGATAAACTGGAGCAAAGAAAAAAAAGTTCCAGCAAACAAATTCTTCAGCATTGAGACTCTTACGATGTCATTTCATTAGCCTGTGTATAGTAAGTGGAGCAAAATCACAACCAGGTATCAAATATAAATCAAAACCAAGTAGTACAATAGTAATACACATCGGTCCCACAGCAAACCAAGATCAAATCAAACAACAGCCACACTTCATAGATTCCACATCAAATTTACGACTGCAGCCCAGTTTCAGGTATCTTCACATAAGCGAAAAAAGTACACCATCGTAGCAAGAATAACTGTTGGATATAGCAGATATCATTACTTACATGAACAGTTTGCATTTGATGCAGATCTGCCATTGCTTTTTGCCTCGACTGCCATTAGGAAAACAAGGAATATTAGGTTTACAAATAGTGAACGAAAACTCCAATTTCACAAATTAATGTAAGTTTCACCATTATCGAGAAGTATACAACGTTAAGAGGAACTTTCAATTCCACAAATCAATGCATGTGTCACCATTTTCAAGAAGTGTATAATCTGTTTCCAGAAAACAGTAGAAGAACTGAAGAAGAGAAAGCTCACAAAAGATAAAAATCAATGGCATCAGCTGATAATCTCATTTCTATTCTAGGCATCAATCATCAATAATTCCAAAAGGAAACTGTAGATAGGGAATTCCAATTCCAGTATCTACAAAGAGAAGAACCAGAAAGCAGCAGCAAACAGGGTAAATACCACATAACCCTAA